ATACTGGTAAGCCTAAAAGAACATTAAACCTTTTCAAATCCCTAATAAATTTGGACGGGGGGAGAGAGATGGAAGACAGTATTTTATTGTTAACAACTTTTCAAAAGATTTTGTTTCTTTTTTCTTTTCTTGTCAGTTTTATTTGTAAATTTTCTTATAGCTGTTGCTATCTTTATAAACCCTATGTATTTTTTTCTCGTTTATTGGTTTTTATTATTTCACTTTGTCTTTTTTTTCTACTCTTTTTATATCATTAAAATTGGTCCGATTATATTTCTTTAAGAGCATTCTGTTTTATAGCATAAAAATGTAGTGACGAGCATAATTACGTCTCTACTCTACTTAAGAATTTAACACATGAAAAAAAAATTACAATTCGCTTTTTTTCTACACCTTTATCTTGTGTAAAATTCCGTTCTGCGCCTGTATGTACTCTTATTGAATTTTATTATTACTCAATTCTTGCGAGTATTGGGAGCATTGCGACTGTGTATATTTAAAAAAATAATATAATTTTTTTTTGTTTTTGTGATTCTATCTTTCATTGTTCTTCTCAATTATTCTCACTATAATATTTCTCTCTTCCTACAAAAATATTTTTCTTTTCTTAATTTGTTGCACGATTTTAAGTTCACCAGAGAACTACTCACTACACTCATTACTACATGGTTTTCCATATTCATATTCACAATTCAACTTAACCTAACAAAATAAGGTGTGTGTAAGTATTAAATATATAATACAAAAACAAAGTATATAATTTATAAATTCACAATACATGTAAACGGATAAAAGTAAATAAAGCAAATTTTTTTCTCGCAAAATATTTGTTTTGAGAGATTTTTTGGGGTTTTCCTTTTTTTTACAAAAACTCTGTACTGCTTGTTACTATTAATATGTAGGCAGTATTTAGAGAAAATTCGTAGGTGAAAATTATTTTCACAAAAAAAAATAAACATTACAAATTCTATACATGCTCTAATTTTTAATTATGCTTAATAAAATTTGTTAATGTGTTGGTGTTTAGTTACATTAAAATTTTGAATTGTTTTTCTTTGTACATACATTTGTATTTTCGTTGTTGTTGCAAATCTGTAAATCATTTATTAATGAAATATTTTGTGGTGTAGCTGTGTAGGATGTCGAAATTCTCGATGAAATTCGCAAATTATATTGAATTTAAAAATATTTTTTTCAGAAATTTCATATTTACACTTTTTTTTGGGTCTTGTACTTATTTTTTTTTTTTTTTGGGGTAAATTATTTAATTATTAATTTCCTAACAATAAAAATATATCATCTATCAGATTAGCAAATATTGCCGAAATACTGCTAATTAAATTGGAAAAATAAGGACTTCTAAGATTATTATTTTGTTGTTGTTATTTACATATTATCCTTTTTTCCTCTCTCTGAATTTAATATCCTACATAGCTGATAATTTTTTGTATTGTATTCTTCTTTTTTATTGTTGCTATGAATTAATAAAATTTTAATATTTCGCATTTACATATGTTACAATTAACGAGATGATTGAAAGTTAAGTTGTAATCCACATTTAAAAAATATTGATTAATTGGGGATTTTAGAAAAAATATATAAATAAATCTATCATCTATGTCGTTGTATCCTATGGTGAGAGACGAAACTTTTGTTCTATGGGACATAGATTTATATATCCCAAAACTGAATTTTTTAAGATATATGATAGGTCTACCTTTTCGTAAAAAAGGCCGTTTAATTTTACCACAACATATTGTTAATTACATTTATTTTGGCCAATTTTAATACTTTTGCTATTATTTTTTAAAGTAAACGCTAGATATACTAAAACTAAAAATCAAACTAATTAAAATATTTCAATGAAATCTCTGCCACTGGGTTATTTTTAAAGTCAGCACAAATTAACGCTTTGAAAATCATGCAAACATGTGAAAATATTTCGAATAATTAATTTTAATTGTTGATTGAAGTAGGTATTTTCGATACCTGTAATATCAAAATTGAGGTAAAATTTCTGTAAATAAATAAGAAATTTCTGTGGATAACCTTTTTTCGTCTCTAAAGTAAAAGTGAATCCGTCAAAAATTTATTTATGTTCGAAAATGTAATTGATAAATTATGGAAAAGTGGAAGATCCTCTACTGTCTGAGTTATAATCAAACAAAAAACTGATTAGATCTAAACAATTAAATTTCAAAATTGCTTTTTAGACAAAAGCTACAAGTTTGGAATATACCGAATATAGATTTCATTTTAGTATATTATAGCAAGATGTTTTTGTCATGTTATATTTAAAGAAAATAGTTTTATATACCTCCAATTCACTTGTTCTATTATAAGTCTTCCCTACTCTCCCAAGATTCCACGAAACAACTTACAACAATATATATACATATAAGGTGTCTATATACTTTCAATTCTGGCATATCAACATTAGAGTACCTTATTCAAAAAAATTCTTAATATGAACCCCGTTATATAAGTGATACTACAGATTAACCACTTATGTAAATGAGAGCTTATATATGTACTTTTTTGAGAAAAAAAATATATATTTATATACAAAATAATAAAGAAATCTTCTATTAGAAGAAACAAATTACTTCAATTTCAAATGCGCACGCTTTCTCTTTTTAACAAATTTATTACTTCTTATTTTTATTGCCTTTCTTTCTTTTAACATCTTGTTTTTTTATGCTTTTTCTTACTCTAGATAAATTTTTCATTTTATATTTTTGTTCTATTTCTGTTTCTAATTTTATTTCTCTACTTAATACAAATATTATTCAACCAATTTACCACCATCTAACCTTTTGATTATTAGTAAAAATTTGATTGGAATCCATGAAATTATTCCATTTAAAGATTTTCCCATTTTTATGTCATCTTAAATTTCAATAGGATGTGCAATTTTTATTCTACGAATACACACATACGGGATAGGGATTTCTATACATGCAACATATGTTAAGAAAAACAAGAGAGAATAATTTGAGAGCAAAACTGTATAGTAAGCTTAGTATTTACAAAATAAAAAAGAAAATACACACCTATATTCTCAGTAAAAGAATGCTGTGGGCGTATGGTAGAAAATGTATAAATATTAAGAAGCATTAACGTTTGAGAAAAGTGTTAAACGGTAAAGTAATAAAATAGATTATTAAACTAATTATTACTATTATGTATGTATTTTATATTTAAATTTTTTTCGTAATTTGAACTACAGTAGATTTCGAAACAATAACAGAGATTAAAAATTGAAATTGTAATTAAATTATTATCATGACTTGTCATGACCATATCCTAAGAACGTCTCAGATTCATTTAATCAAATACTAGTATGTATTACATTATTTGTATTCTCATAATCAACCGATATAGTGTTGCCAATTATTTACGAAGAAACGAGTATAGGCCATTCGTTAATCCGAGAAAATATATGGAATGAATATAGGTTGATAAACCACGTTGAATAGTATAAGATTGTAAGCGTAAGGTCTTAAATTAAATTGCTAGAATCAATTATAAAATTCAGCCGGTTTTTACTGAATTTCTACGTATAAGGGGTTTTTGGAAAAATATTTGTTTTTTTTTGGAAAAAACTAAAAATTGTTCCCACATTAAAACTTTAAAAAATTCATGAACATTGTTTGATTTTTAAATTATGACCAGAAATACAGAATATTTTCATTTAAAGATCTTGCTTTATTAGACACTAAAAAATAGTTCATTCGTTAGATTTTTAGAAAAAAATTTTTTTCCACCTCCATCCCCTTTCAAGTTATCGTCTCTCGAAATTTGTAAAATTTGAATTTTCGGCACCTTATATTTCAAATTTTTATAAATGCAGAAAGCTGAAGGTAAATTCCATTGCATTGAAAAATATAATTATTTTTCTTAATTCCCGCAAGTAACCCTTAAAATCGAGTATTATGTTAACACCTCTTTTAAATGTTTTTTTGCTTTATTTCAAAGGCTGCATAAATTGTTCATCCCAAATGTATGCAATATTTGAAATGGTTTCGTATAAGAATGAAAAGTGTTAATCTCATAATAGGTATACATAGTTTGTTTTTAAAAGCAGTGCTTTCACTGGTTGGACTGGCTTGACCCAACTTTATCTTAAATTAATTTCTTGATTGACTAAATTTCACTTCAAGTTATTACTTATTAAGGGCGTGATCGCTTATTCGCCTTGAAAGAGAATCAAAAACGAGACGAAAAATAATATTTTTGTGATAAATAATATTTTTAATAATATTCAATTGCTAAATAAAAAGATAATTTAATGGCATTTTGGCAACAATTAATTTTATTTACATAGTTTGTAAATGAGAATGGTTTTAAAGTTAAATCAGGTAAGAATAAAAACATTCATATATGCATTTGTGTTGGTGTGCAAAGTAAATATACCTTGTACGCTCTTGTTCTTCTCTTTCTCAAAAATAAAATTGAATAAAATAAAACGCGCTGAAATTCTTTTTTCTAGTAAATATAAAAAGAGTAAATTACAAATACTATCTCATTTACACAAACATATTTTAAATTACTAACTCACACAACCTCATATAGTTTTTCCATGTTTTTCATTACTAAAACAACATTGAATACACTCACTTTTTTGTAGAGAAAAATAAAGAATTTAGAAAAATTTTCTCTATTTAAAAAGTCTACATACACAATTATAAAAAATTTAAGTAATTAAAATACAAAATATACTCATAACTTCAATACATTCATACTACATATTATGTTTTTATAAAAGAAATTCAAGCATTATGTTGATTTTCTGTTATGTTAAATGTTATGTTGTTTGAACTGATTATTGTAATTTTGCTTATTTTTCACTGAATTCTTATATAAAATTGTAAGTATAACTCTGTATTGTTTTGGATGTTATATTTTAGTATATGTTCTGTTTTTATTATTATTATTATTTTTGGGGGGTACTTTGAAAAAGCTTCAGTCAGTTAGCAATATTTAGTCATCAGCTGCTACGCGTGCTGTTGTGGTCGTATTTTTATTTCAGTTTTTTTTATTCTGAAAAATAATTTTGTATTCTCTTGTATATGTTTTAATGAAATTATATGTATACATATATATTCATGTATATATGTAGTTTTATTATTGTAAATTTACATACATACAAATTTGTAATTAGAAAGTACATGTTTTTATAAATTCGTTATTGGAATTGTGCTTCTTTCCTCTATATGCTACGAAATTATTAATTTTGTGAAATAATCGAAAAAATATAACTTTGTGTTTTTATTTTGTTTTTTTTTTTCAATTTATTTATATATTTTGTGGCAATTATTACATATAAAAAATTGTTATACTACTTTATTATTATATTGATTTGAGTGAAAAGTACGGCGACAAAAAAAATAAAAGTGTCAAAATCGAAAAACACAAAAAAACAAAATAAGAATTTTTCTAATCTTTAAAATCCTGAAAACAACTTCAAATCAAAAAAATTATTTTTTTTTTCCTGGATCCGGAATTTAATTTAACAATTTTTGTTGCTGTTGCTGATGCCGCTGCTGCTGCTACTACTACTACCATTGAGTTCGTTTAACTTTTGTTCTATTATTATATTGTTATTATTATTATTGTGGGTCCGGTTTACGCGAATTATTATACTATTGTATAAATTTATCTATAATATATTTATACTCTGTTATACATTTATTGTAAAAAAAACCAAAAATATATAAAATTTCTACTTGAATTACAATATATTACGAGTATATACTTATACCTTGTTGATGTGCAATAGCAAAAAATATATGATACTCTAAATTATTAATACACACACAGGCACATATGTGGAAGTAAAATATTTAAAAATATAGCAACAATAATAAGAAAAACGTGCGACCTTAAAAAAAACATTTTGTATACCTACATATTTTTCCTTCTTATTGTGAATGATTTTTTATATTACACACATATGTGTATATAAACGAATATATTCTTGTATATAAATTTATATATATTCTAAATATTTATTTTTATGCTATAATTTTATGCATGTGTGTATAATGTGCCATTGCATATGTATAATGCAAAATAATAAAAATATTTTATAAAGAGAAAATTAATTGGAGTGAAAATTTTGCTATATAAAAGAAAATTAAAAATAAAAAAGAAAAATTTTCTAAAACAGCAATATTAATTTAAAATATATATATGTATATATATATATATATATATATATATATATATATATATATATATATATATATATATATATATATATAAATAACAGAATACATACATGTGCATATAGATTTACAAATATATAAATTATTTGTTTTCTCTTTCTCTTCTTATAATTTTATGAGGTTAATACAGAAGCATACGCATTATATATTTTAATTAATTAATATTGACTAATAAATTGTAATAAATAAGTATTTTGAATGAATTGAATGAATAACAAGAAATAAATTTCAATTTAATTTCTTAATTTTTTTTCTCTTACTCTCATTAAAAATAGTAAAAACGGAGGTACAAGAATATTTTTATTAAGAAATTATGGTTAATTATGGTTTATTAAAAAATCTATCGTAACTATCGTAAATAAATAATTAATTGTCGCAACATTACATGTAGAATGTTTGATTTTAATTAATTCTTTAATTAATTCTAAATATTATTTAACAACTTGATTCTAAGGCAATTTTTTAAAGTTCTAATGTCTTAAATTCGAACATGGTTTCTACGTAATAATGGAAAATATGCAATTTAAAGTCGTAATTTGTAATTATTTATTTAATATGACTATTTTATAATCACAATGTTGTTTATTTTATATTTTTTCGTTAGGTAATTACATATTTTACTTTTCATATTTAAAAAATAAAATAATATTTTACTACAGTATATACATATCCTATAATGTACATAAGCATACATGTTTATATACAGCGTAATAATATGTTTGTATATATTACAAATATTTATTTTTCCATAACTAAGGGCAAATAAATTATTCTAATTAAAAATGGCAGTACATACTATAAAATTTCAGTTTTATACTATGTACATTTTATATAGATTATGTACATACATACATATATATTTATAAAGAAGTCATATTACGTATGTAGAAATGTATATTGTTGTAAAAATAAGTAGGGATACATGCAAATTGAAAATTTCTATGATAAAGTTGTAAAAAATGAAAATCATTTTAATAAATTGAAATTACAATTAATTTTTGATGAATATTAAATTCTAAATTAATTTATAATATAATATTTTTGAAGAAATTAAAATTTTCCTAAATTTTCTTACCATTTCTATAAAGTACGAAAATATATGTAAAATAAAATTCCTATTTGTATTTTAGATTATAACATTTATGAACTCTAAATGTAATATGAATATGAATAAGTAGTTATATGAAAACTAATAACAACACATACCTGTTGTGGCGCATAATCTGAATATCACACCACATTGAAAATTTTAAAATTTCCTATTCCTTTGATAGTTTTTGTTTTTGTGGTGTTTTTTTTTTGTTTTTACTCGAGAAAATCTAAAATAGTATTGTAATGTGCAAATATTTTAATAAATATATGTAAAATTATAGTTATAGTTAGAAACCTAAAAATCATCTGCCATATTGCTTTTTTTTTCTTTTCTGAAAGTTTCCATTTTAACTTTAAATTACATACGTTTGTAGGTACTATTCTATAGTACAATATGGAAAATATAGAAAATATCGTACCTATATACAATATGGAAAATATAGAAAATATATACTATGAAAGTACTGTAGGCGGTTATCAATACAATTGAACTTCGATATTATAAAAACTTGTAAAATTTCATTAATTTTGTTTGTGAAATAAAGAGTCTTTCATTAGAATGTCTATTATTCTTCGAAAATTCATTCTCATCTATTTCGCAAACTGTAACAGCTGTGAATTTTGGGAAAATTTTAAATACCTGCTATATTACATTTTTATTACATCACCAAAAACATACCGTTGTTTAAATCAAAAAAAAAAAAATTCAAGAGTATATTCTTAAATGGTCCAGGTATCTAAACTAAAAGTTTAGTTCTGGAGTTGATTGTGTGCTTCTTAAATAGGTGATTGTACCATCTAATGCATATCTGAAAGTACCGTTATATATGATACAGCAAAAGTTATAGCCTATTTTCTATAAAGGCAGCATATAAAAAATTTTTCTACCCTTAAGAGCGGCTACCTCGTAAGTCGGTTGAGATAGGAGGCGTTTTGCAGGATAGGTTTTTTTATTTTTGTTTAACGAAGATCTACACTCTGGTTTATGTCAATAAGCCTCTGTATAGAACACCCTGTACCACATATTTTTATAGATTTAAAAGTCATGTATTATGGAATGCTCATTGATTGATATTTTTACAATAATATTATACAATTATTTAGTAAAAGACGGAAATGTGCTGCATTTGAATTCCTTAATGGATATACTCTAATCGAATTTAATTATAAGTAAATTTTTTCAAACGTATTTGTTAATCTGTATGATATTTCGTTCGAAGAATTTCTAATTTACTTTTTATTAATAATTTTGTTTTGCATCTACTTATTTTCCACAGTCGCCACTTCAACAAACTAATCACAACTCACGAATTATGTATTTATGTTGATCATATTATGTATGTGCAAAATATTCAATATAAAATCGTTTAATGGGAAAACTTGAATAAATTTCCATAATTTCGTCGACAAAGAACAGACACAAAGATAACAGAATCGCATTACTATATTTAAGACCAAAGAAATGCGATACTGCCAAAAAATATAATCAATTTATTCTTGAATTTATTAAATAATATTGCAAAAATTTCAAATGAGTAAGAAAATCCTAATAATTCTATTGCATTTTGTACAAATTTATAAAAATTTAAATAATAATTTTAAATTTTTTATTTTAATTTCAATAATATTAGAAAAAATATCAAATGTTTTATAAAATGTACAAGTATTTACGCAAATGTAATCATTGATGTAAAATCATTTTATAAAAGATTTTTAAAAGTGTAATTGGAAAAAAAAAGAACCTCTAAATTCAAGGTTGCAACTTCATAAATAATAACAAGTAGTACTTTTCAAATAAAAAACCTCAATAAAAATTCATAATGAATTTTCTATTTGTATTTCCTGTATTAGAACTTAAGAATTTTTTTTATTTTTACTATTTTTGTTATTATTTTTTTAATTAATTACATGAAATAGAAATAACCTTTGTAAAAATGAAAAAAAATTTTTTTTTCTCTATTAAATACAGTAAGGTTGTTTTCTATGATCGTTGTTAAAAGAGTTTTCCATGAAAAATAGAAAAATGTTCTAACAATCATAAAAATTGTATTTTGTTTTTGTTTTTGTTATTTTTGCACTAGAAATTCTCTAATACACAAGGAAATATATGAATTTATTTTTGTTAATCTCAGAATACATTCAAATAAAATTTTCAATTTAAATACATACTCTCTTTTTCTCACTCTCACTATTTAGCAAATTTTATTCTTTCCCTGATACGTTGAATTGAGTTCAGTCAGATTTAATAAAATAAGTACGAAATAAGCTGTCATTATTTTAAAAATTGAGTTGGAAAATTCTCTTATATACTTTACAATACAAATACAATAAACAATACAACCTACGCATACATATTTAAGGCATTAGTGTATTTAAATAAAAATTTATAGTTGTATTTTGTTTTTATTTTTGGATTTTATTTAACATAAATTTATTTTATTTTATTACAAATACATACATGCATTCAAAATATTATGTTAGTCAATACTAACTCAAACAAAATCTCAGAATAATGTACATACATATACTCGTATATATAAAAGATCACGGCCATGACATTATAATTAAATAGGGAAATTGGACAATAGGAGAAAATTTTAGGAAAATAAATTGCCGAACAATTTGTTCTTAATTATTTTCATTATAATAGTTTGTAAATTAAAAAATTTAATTTTATGAAAATTGTACATTCTTTACATTTTTTTTTATCATAAAAACACATTTCTTAGTACTGGGGTGTGTAATGAAAAGGTAGTATCATATAAATTGATTGGTACTACCTTACCATTTTTTCGAGAATACGAAAATCGTCTCACCAAATTCGAATTACATAGCAGGACCCTGGGTTAGTACTAAAATTCAACACATAATATCGAGATTAGGATCAATTCGACGTTTATTTTCCACGCAATATGCTCATTTACAAATTATTCAACGGTATGCCCAATATGTTGAGCTGCTTTAAGGTCACTATTACAACATACGCAAGTGTGTTTTCCTGTTATAGAAATAAATAAAAATACTTTCCAATTTAATGTAGGTACTTACATACATAACGTAAATACTTTTTCCGAAACTTTTTTTCGTAATATTCAATAATCTATTATACAAATTCAAATTTTTAAAATTTAGTGTTATAAAGGAACTAAAATTGTTCTACATATAGGCTATATAAAATGAATAATGTTCGCCATTGAAAATTTGGGAATAAATTTTTGTCAAATTTTGTTTTTTCATATTTTTGATGAACAGATTAGAAAGAGTAAAACTTTGTTGAAAAATGAGATTATAAAAATTAATTTTAAGGCCTGGAGTGTGTAATGTTATATGCGGACCTGTAATGTGATGACATGATTTTTTTCATAATTTTTTCATAAAACGTGTTCATTATATATATATATGTACATAATATGTATATTCTACGCTAAATTATTTTATGTGTGTTAGTGAATTTTCCTATACAGAGAATTCTATGAATACTCTAAAATAATAGATAAGTTAGATATCTAATTTTTCTACATCATAATTTCAATTTTTATCTATTTTTTTTTTTCAAGTATAAGCTTGTATGCGTATATAAAAATATTATATGAACTTGTGACAATATTTGCTTGTGTGAGTGCCTTATACAATTTTATATATTTTTGTATTATCACTTGTGTTTGCAAATCAATAATTTGATTTAAAAAACATGCCCATAGGAAGAACCTTGTATTTTTTACACATATACTTTTGTTGTTTTTATGTCGTTACATATTTTTTTTTCTCTTTACTATTATTATTGTTTTTTATTTTTGTAACCTTTTCATATTTATTTAATCAAAATAGGAAAAAATTCACTTATTAAAAATTATTATAATTTTTTTGTTTTCATATAAACAATTTTAAATATGATTAATTCTTTTATTATTTATTTAAGTAAATTATAAAATATTTTATAAATAAATTTTAAAATGGATCCGGACCCGGAATCTAAAAGAAAACAATGTTATTGAAATCAATTTCGATGATTCAAAAATATTTACTTTGTTAAAATTGTGTTCTGTTCATTAAAATCGGAAAAATTATATAATTTATCAAAATTTTACAAAATAGCGAAATTATTTTTAAAATTTTTGTAGAGATTGGGGAGTTCGAGTTTATTTATTTATTTATTCCGAACTGTAAATTAACTACATATAATAATTTTGTAGCTATTAATCGAAACACTTAATTAGTTACCGATTCAAATTTATATAAAAAGCAAAATTTTACACTTTTTACATACATATTTCCCAAAATAATACACATTTACCCAAAGCTATTTGTACATATACGAGACGCCTTACTTTATAAATAATGGAATATGTACCCATTTATATGTAGACATTTAACACAATAAACAAAATTATGGTATATTTACGTGTATAATAATATATTCCTTTACGGATTTTGATACTGTAATGTAGTAAATCGTTAATCAAAATTGTTAATTAGAAAAACTAGCTTGACATGTTAATTAAAATTTCTAAAATTTTTTATTAGTAATTGTACTTTCAAAAATTAACACGGGTTTAAAACATTTTGGTTGTTTTTATAGAATTATTTTCAAGATGTCAAATTAATTTCATATAAAATATCAATAGCATGCCAATTAAATTTCTAAATTTTTAACAATTTGAAAAGATTGCAATACACTAGTCTGTACATTCCCGTAATTTTAAAAGCAGGGTACTTTAACTTTTAGCCTATAGGATTATAATATCAAATTTAAAATTAAACATAAAATTTGTTGCTTAACATTACAAATATAATATCATTTCGTTTTCATTCGAAGTAGTCAAAAATCTGTTCCAATATCGGTAAATAAGACATTAAATGTCGAAAATTGAAAACTTTTGTTTTTCAATTTTTTTTTTCTATTATCAATATAACAAAAATTTTTGATATAAAAATTAAAAAATGAACTAGTTTTTTGTAAGGAAAATTCAAGTTTTTATTAAAAATTTTTTACAATTTTCAACACATTATGTGTGTATATATATTTAAAATTATGTATACATAATATGTATTTACATTCATACAAATAAGTACGAGTATTGTGTATGTACGTTGTAAATTTATTGTTAATTTGCCAAAAAAATTATAACAATTTATTCATAAACGCATTATAATATTAAAAGTAATTTAACTGTCAAATTCAAGAACAAATTCTGACATATTAAATGTCAAATAAATTATAAAGAGCAAAGAATAAAAAAAAAAACTTTGACAGTATTATAAACAAAGCAATCATTCCACTTTTAATTTATTTAAAATAGAAAAACTTGTAGCTATTTTTTCAAAAGATAAAAATTAATACTTTCTTTTTTGCTCTTTGTGGTTGGATGCCGTTTAGAAAAGAATTTCATACACTATACTTATACATACATATGTACATACACGTACATATGGATATGAATATGTAATTTGTATTATTAAAAAATCCGGTCAATAATAACATTGAAGAAGAGAAAAAATAAAAATGAGAAGAAAAAAAACAGAAATGATAGAAAATAAACAAATCAAACCGACAACAAAATTGGTTAAATGGGGGTCTCTTCTATTCAACTATTGAGTTTGTTAGTATAAATATATTCTACGAATAATTTTTGTTTCAATTTTACAATTGAATTTTGTATACATGAAAAATGCTTAAGGCGATCGATTTTTTTTTAATAGAAAAAAGGAGTTTTTTTTTTTATTTCAGATAAATATCAATTTTTAAAAAATATTTATGGTGTACTCATTTTATTTTTAATGTTTTTTAACCTAAAAACATATTATAAACATTGAAAAATAATAAGTTTTTAGTTATAAACAAAAGTGAGAGAAAGATACATGAAAACTTATTAAGGAAAAAATTAATAATACAAAATTGGTATATGAAAAGATAAAAATATTAAAAATTAAGAAATTTTTTGAAATGAGTTTTTTTTTAATAAATTCAGGTTGAAAATATTTTATTATATTATGTACATCAAAAAAAAAAAATGAAATTTAAAGTAGGTTAACAGTAGAACATGCTTTGTCCAGAGCATGCTTTTAGTTTTTGCTTGCAAGAATTTTTATTTATAAAAGCCAATAATATTTTCTGTATATAAAAGGGCAGGTTGTTTGTTTTTCTTCAATCAATTATATTAAGAAAAAATATTTTAACGAATATGAGGGAAACAATAACAAATTAACTTATTTGGGCACATATAGAAATAGTCTTTAAAATTGGACTATACAATTGGTTTTTTGAATTGCACTTATTCATCCAAACTGTTTTCATTTCGTTTTCATTCGAAGTAGTCAAAAATCTGTTCCAATATCGGTATGAAGGGAAAATTTACTTAATATATAAATAATTATATTGAAGAATTCATAATTGTCAAATGATAAAAAAGTTTTTCAGGAATGCAGTTTTTAAATTTTCAATACACGCACTTACTTACTAAAAGAATAAAATAGAATCAGAATAATAATTTATAAAGTGCTTTGGAAAAAGAAAACGTTCGTCTACTTAAATTGTTTCACTCATAGCTAGCTATATCAAAAATGGCATACTTTTAGGAAAAAACGAAAACGTCAACGTATATGTTGACGGCAAGATATTTACCGTTAGTTGTTTACTTTTTTAGAAATTTGGAAAGCTTTTTAATTCGAATTTCAAAAACTGAAATTCAAATTGTGTTCGAGAAATTGAAAAAATTTTAAAATCCTGCGGCTTGCCATCTAAGAAAAATATGATGTTAAAAATTAAAGAAAAAAAGTTGTTGAATTAAATTACAGGTAATTTCAGTACCAATTTAGTAATTGTAATATTTAGAAGTTTTAGTTTATTGTCAAAAAATTTCAGTTATTATCTAAAAGGATGATAGACAGACAGACGAACAGACTGAAACTAAGAAGACAATTATTTCCCAGTTTCGCTGGAAAAGTCCTTAAAATTAAAAATTATTGTAAAATGTTTAGTAATAAATTTTGAACATTTAAGGCATTTTATTCAAGAGTATTTGTATTTTTAAAAGTTTTAATATTAAAAAAAAAATAAATTTTACTTAATTATTACAATTATTGAGTAATTTATTAATTGAAAATATCACAACATTATCAATTTTTTGTCCATTACAATTAATAATTTTTAATTCATCGTCAAGGATTTTGTAAATTACAAAAGAGACAATTTCTTAAAAAAATTTTTCTTTTTTTTAACTTTTTATTAAAGATTAAAAATAATGAATATTCAAATAATGTTAATCTCATAATGTCGCTATTTGTCAACAAGTATAGCTGTAAAACAAAAATAAAATTCAATTCTTTAATTAAATTTGGATTCAAATCTTTTTTATTGACAAATTGTATATAATGTACATATGTATGTATGTATATATGTATATTTATTTATATGAATTATTTAAATATTACTCAACTATATAAAATAATATAAAAAAGTATATTTGAGTACATATACATTTTACTTGTAACAATATTCAAAATAAAGTGATTTTGAGTAATCGAAGAAGAGAAAAGAAATGAGAAAAGAAGAGAAAAGAAAGAAAGTGAAAACAAATCAATTTAGTTAATAAATAATTTTTCTTTTTTCACATAAAGCAAGAAAACTACATAAGAAACAGGAAAAATAAAAAAAAGTCAAAAAATAAAACGAAAAATTTGACATTCAAAAATCTTATTACAAGGTGTTCTATCTAAAACGAAACAAAAGCAAAACAACAAAAAGTGAAAAATAAAAGCATAACAACAAAATCACTTGTAATTTTTCTTATTTTTTTTTTTTCATTTTTTTCTCATTTTTTTCCATTTTATAAATATAAATCATTGTCCCTGAATATTTATTATCCTTACAGAATAACATTGAATAAAAAATATATATTATACACAAATTCATACACATATAGTTGTATTATTAAATACATACTAAATTAAACACAAAACAAAAAAAAAAAACAAAAACAGAAAAAATATGAAAATCCAATAATTCGAAGGATAACAGCAGAAAAGAAAAAATAAAAAGAACACAGAAAAAAAAATTCGAACTTGTATTCAAATACAAACCATCATCATAATCATCAATATCAATATAAACATCATCATCATCATCACCATCATCAGGGAATAAAGCAACAACCATTAAAATCTACTTTTATACAATAAGGATTTTTATTTAAAACGAGCGGATATATACATCCATACACACATTTGTATATATACATAAAAGTATTATATTCTATTTTTAAGCTCTTATACAACAAAATATAAAAGCAAAACAAAGCAAAAAGCCATAAGAAGACAAAACAAACAGCAAAAAAAAAAATAAACAACAAATTTATAATAATTATTATAATAAAAGTAAGAAAAAAAAGAAAAACAAAAAAAAAAGCAGAAAAACAAAAACGAAAAGGACTTAAATGTCCTTCACCTTTCCAGTATTTTATATTTAATACACGTGCATATATTAATACTATTATTATTATTTACACGTATATGTATATATATGTATGTAGCCAAACAGATTTAAAAGAAAATCTCATGTGTGTAGAAAAATAATAACAATAAAAAAGAAAATTCTTTTATAATAAAATTATATTATTCTCCATTGCAAAAAAAAAAAAACTATTAAATACAAAAGAAAATATTGCGTATTTCAAAGTACATATTCATTCACACATATATGCCATTAATTGTTACATGTATATACGTACAAATTAATATTATCTAAGTGCATACAACTAAATTATATATGTATATATATACATTTTTCAGAAAAATTTCATAATTCAACGTTGAAGAGCTACAGAACAATAAGAAAAATATTTTTAAATGAAAAGCTAAATTAAAAGCAAAAGAAAAAAAATATTATCATTAAAACATAAAAAAAAATTTAAAATAATTGAAATAAAAATAATTTATTTTCCCTTCTAAAACAAAAAAAAAGAAAAAAATCAATTATCACCACCTTGACCTAAACCAATCCTTGAAATTCAAAAAGGAAGCAACAAAAAATACAACAAAACCAAAAATATAGAAATAAACGAAACAAAAGAAACATTCAAACCTTGAATTTTCATGTAAAACAGAAAAAAACAGAATTGTAATTGAAAACTTAATTTCTTTCATTCATAATTTGCCCAATTTTTGGGAAACAATACCTGTGTATGCATATAGGTATATAAAAAACAATAAGGACATCATTACAATTAAAAAATAATAACAAAAAAGAAAAAAAAAAAAACAGAAATAATAGAATCAAATCACAACGATTACGTCACATAAGAGCAAACCTTGAAGATTACAATTTGCATATTTTTATATTTTCTTTTTGTTACATAAGAAAATTATGTGAATTTATTTTAATTTTCAATTCAATTTTAAAATATTTTTAAAAAACAAGTAAATAATAATTTCTCTCAGTGTAATTCACTCAATTATCACCATTTAAATTATTAATAAAAGATTTTAATGAAATCGCAATCTTAATGTTTTAAAATTTACATGTTTGCAAATCATTTGTACATACATATAATCAAGGTAGATTATTATTACTATAACAGTAATTAAATAGTAAACATTTAAAGGATTATTATATTTAAAAATTAACAATCGAATCTATGCTTACATAAAATAGTTTTAAAAATTGCAAAATATTTTTAAAATAACTTATAATTTTTTCTCAGTGTATATGAGCTATTTACTTTGTGTTCATAAATACGCCACCATAAATTTATTTTCTTAAACATATATGAAAATTTATTCTGAGTGTATAAAATAATTTTTATAATTTAACTTTTTTTTAACATTAAATTTAAAAAATTAAAAATAATTGAATTTTTATTGTTGATTTGCAAGTTTTTTGTGCTTTGGATTCTGATTTTTTTTTACAAATGACATCGTCTGTTGTAAGATTTGTACAATTTTTAAAATTTCAATTGACGATTCACATTAATTATTCAAATAAATTTTTAATTAAAATAGAAAATAATTCCAATTTAAGTACAAAACAAAAAATATTGGTTTAGAAAAAAAAAACAAAAAAGAAATTTTTTTTTTTTTAAAAAAAAAATAATTCCTATATTTTTAATTTTTAAGGTAAAATATTAAAATTTATTATAAAAAAATTTCTAAATTGAAAGCAAAAAAATTCAATTTAAAGTACAAAAGAAATTAAACAAGAAAACAAAAAATCTTGTTGTATTTTTGTGATTTGTTGTGTTATACGAAAATATATTCAAAGTGGATACCATATCTATTCCATTGGGTGGACTATCACATGTTAGGATGGCTCTAGCCAGGTAAGTTTGTATCTACTTACTTCAGTTTTTTTTCAGTGTATCTGTATGTGATTCTTCTAATAAGTAGAACTTGAAAAAAGAATTTGCATTTTTAAAGTTAAATGAGAAAATATACCAGAATTAACTTTGGAGATTTAAAATTTACCAAATCAAATGTTTGGTAATACTGAATATTTTTTTTTAAAAACTTAACCCTAATTATGTCTAAGCATGTAACCTGTCTATTATAGTATTATGTCACTATGAAGACATGCGCGGTATCCATTATATAACCTCCATTGTCTAGGTATATAAAATACTAGGGTGCGATGAAACCCGACATTAGACTTTTTTTTAATCTACTTCTTATTGTGGTAAAATATATTTAACATTAGACCATTTTCAAAAATTTTAAATACCCTGTCGAAATGTCTTCGAATTAGTTTTATTAAAAAAATTATCTGTCCTATTTAATTTAGCTATTTTATAAATTTAATATATTTGTTTAGAATACTAGTGCTGGTAGTCCGTTTCAGGTGTGCGATTTATTACCCAATACAAATCCTAATGCATTTTCTCTCAAACAATCTAAACTTTCCCATGAGATTTGCGCTTACGTTATACTAAATCGATATAGCATTTACGGCATTATTTTATGTTGATTGGAAATTTAAAATTTATTATAGTTGAAAATTGCATATCTTCAGGAGCAATTATAAATTTTTAAAAAATTTTTTTTACGATTAATTACGCATTTTTAGTTGATTGATTGTGGTATTTAAGGAGTTGTATGATAACTATGACTAGAGAATCCTTTGCATACTTAAATTTTTTATTAAATTCCTTTGTATAAAAACTTGTATGTTTCCTTTGAATCTTCGCTTCGAAAATTAATTTATTTATTTATTTAAAAATTAAATTAAATTAACTTGAAAGCTGTATAACAGTTATGCGATAGTTGTATTGTGAATGATATTTAACTACATATTTGCAAAAAATTAATATATTTTATATTTAATACTTTCAAAGAGTCTGTAAATTAATTATTATGTAAAGCGGAAATTTATAAAACTGTAAGTTTTTGAACAATTTTCCAAAAAAAAAAATGTTCAAATAAACTCTTATTTAATTATGTTGCAACTGATTGTATAAAAACGTTTCCATATTTGCCTTAATTTTAAATCAAATGATCTAATTTCATTTAGGTTTATATTTTAAAATTGATCATGAATAATTCTCCGAATCAAATTATATGCAATACCAATACATTTTTGGACATGTTTTTAAAATTTATTGTTATTTAAAAAAAGAACATCCCACATTATGATCAAAAACTAATAAATAAATAATATCGATACCCAAAAAAAAATCAAAATTTTGTAATAATATTGATTTATAAAATTTCATAATCGATTTCATTTAATTTGTCAATTTAATTAAATGAATTTTATAATACCCATATGACGGAGTTTGGCGGAATGATTCAAATTTAAATTCGAAATATATATAACGCAAATATATTATACATACATGTACAATGTTACCATATGTATCAATAATTTCCTTGAATGTTAATATTATTCCATAAGCCAAAAGTGATTTTCTACTAATTAACAGCTACTAAATAAAAAATAAAAATAAAAACTTATTTCATTTTAAAATTAACTGAACTGTAAAAATTTTATTAATGTTATACTTACTTATATTTATACACTATGTTTAATATTTATATATGACTTTCAAACTTTTATGTTAAATTTTAATTTTTAGGTTTTTATTACTAAATTTGTTCATATATGTATGCTTATAAAATAATAACTCACAAATGAAAAATATGGTGAAAACAGAAAATAGAAAATTAGAAGAAAAAATAAAAATAAATGAAATATTAAAAGTGTGTCAAAATCACACCAAACAAAAGAAAAATTGTTATACATATACATATATTCACACATGTATTATAATGTATGTACACATTATTGTTGAACGTGTACAAATTAATGCTTAAACACAGAAATTTTTTTCATATATGAACATCAAAGTTTTTAATAAATTTTTCAAACATTTTAATGTTATATGCTTAATTTTTAGTATATACAATAGATATCGAGAATGTGAGTACAATCGTAATTATTGAAAAAACAATAGAGAAATTTTATATCAATGATTGAAATTTTATAATGCAGTATATACTCTTTTTTCTAATGAATTTGACTTATCAACTCGTTTTGTTGGAAATTAATTGCTTTTTGTCATAAGTTCCGGTATAAGCAATTCTTCTTTTCCATTGATAAAAATTCGTTAGTACGAACTTTTCCGTCTTATATTTATCATCCACATTGAACCCGTTAAAATCTATAAAGTGTTGTAGCTCTTCGATTTCACATATAATAAATAAATAAATAAATAAGTAACATTGGAAAGGAAGCTGGCAAAAGAAATCCATTTTTTTTTTTAATATTTGTCCAAATTCTTAAAGATCAAACTGGGCTGATGAGGGTAAATGATTAAAATTATTACATATAAAATTATGTGAATTCAAAACAACATATACTTAGTATTATTTATTAAGAAAAATATCACGTCTCTCTGATCTTGAAGAATTCAGGTGAATTTATTTTCGTTAGTCGGAAAATGCAGGTATCTATTGAACAATCGTAAATGAACCAAAGGCTTGTTCGGAAGCGTCTTTTCTTCAAAAATTCTTGAACAAAAATGGAAAAATTCTAAAATTATTTGTCTTATTGGCATTATTTGCTAAAAGTAGTTTACAAATTATTTAAAAACAAATTTTGTGAGGGTTGATGTTTCACCGATAAGCTCTATATGGAAAATATTTAATAAATTGAATATTTATTAGAATCACAAGATTTATTTCGATATCTTTGTTTTGTTAATGACAGTCTATACGGCACTGTATATCGTAGTTAAGTAATTACAATACCGAATAAAGTTATCCACTGTTGAAATTTATTTGAATTTTTTACCAGATCATCTTGCTACATATTTTTTTTAATTTTTCGTAATTTATACTCTCTAACTTTTTGTTATACATAAAACGTAATAATTTTTTAATAGTCGCTTTGTGATGATTTCCGCCTGCGTGCGCTTATAGTTAACGTTAAAAAAAATGTTTTTTTTTGTCTTTTTTGGTCACTACTACACACTCCTACGCGCTAACCTTTTCTGTTCTAATTCTTCTATTTTTTTTGTCCCCCCAAAAATATTTTATATAAAATTATACAAATTTGTTTTTTAATGTTATTGAGAAAAATGTAAACAAAAAAAAAGCAACGAAGAATGTTTGAAATTATTAATTTTTTTGATCTTTTTTTCACATCTACGAGTAGCCAAACTCAATGTATCGATGGATCGATTGTATTCAATATAGTTTTTTTTTGTTTAATTTGTTGAAAGAGAAGAGAAAATTTTGCCGCATCACATCTTACAAACAAGGCTACCACTAAAAAAATTTTACGGGCTAAATATTAAAAAAAAATGCTAAATTTAAAGAAAAATCGCCAAAATTGACAAAATTCTTATTCTTGCAAGTAAAATACTTATTTTCGTGGTATAATTTCAATTTTAGTTCAAGTTTCAACTTTGTTATTTGAAATTATACATTAAGGTTGTGCAAATGTTGTTATGTTGTTAGGTATAAAATTCTGAAACTTCTCCATTCTTTACTTCTATAAAACTTTCATTTAGGAAAAATTTAGCTGCGAAGCTACGAGTATATGTAAGAGCTACATAGACTGAAAAATTTTCATTGTACACATAAAATTTGAAAAAAATTATGAACGACACGATGTTAGCGCGATATTTATGACTGGCAACTACATTTTTCTGTATTTTACAACTGACAACTGTATATGAACTGGAAATAGCAACTAGTTATATTATATTTTCAGTATTAAGGGTGTACAGTACAATCTTAGAAGTCAATTTTAAGGTCGTAATACATTTTCATAATCAAACGGAAAAAAACGGATCTGGTAGCCGAAATAGTCTTAAACAAAAAAAAAATGGGCCATTTAGGATCGCAATGGCAACATTGTTCATAACAGTTCAAAATTTAATGCGAGAATGAGTGATTAATTTCATACTCTCATAATATTTTTGTATTTACTTTGTTTTTTTACCTTCTTGAATGTAATATATATACACCAATAATTTGTATAAATGAGTGGAAACGTGTGGTTGACACAAAATCAATGATTATAATAAGAGTACGATTATCATCACTAACAACGCTATTGATGATGATTATGACAGTGATGATGATTATTACATTTTGGTATTAGAGGTTGAGGTTGCTATTTAAGGTGGCAATTGAAAAATTATAGCGATAATTTTATATTAAAATGAAACAAAAAAAAAATCGAAATTAATATACGGTAAAATACAAAGAAAAAATCAACGAAATCTCATCATTGGTGTTTTATTGAAAACGTTTGTTTTCTTAAAAGAAAAATCAAAAAAGAATTAGAAATAGTTTTCATGAGATTTTGCAAATAAATAAAAATTTTTTTAAGCCAATTTTATAATCAAAATTATTTGTAACTGTATTTTAATTATGCACGCATTTCATTGAAAAATTATCGGTAAAAATCAATGAAAATAATTGAAAAATCTAAAAATTTATTAATTAAAATAAATTTTGCGTTAACAGGTCAAAAATTCTTGTATATTTTTTTTTGTGTCTTACGACAGAGGAAAAAAATGTCTTTATAAAGTATGTGTATTTAAAGATAAAGAACTTAAGCCTTATCTAATCTAAAATTACCCAAGAGTACTTGTATTTTATTTGCTAAAAATATTGAACAGAAGTATGTGCTTGTTGACAAAATTTTTTAATTAAATTGATGAAAATGTAAAAGTAAATAAGTAAGTGAGAGCTCATATGAACGACATATATGAAATATATACCAATATTCTTAAATATAGGTTCCAATTTCCCAAGAAAAGTCTTTTATAATTTATTTTTAGAATAATATTATATTTTGGGACGTACTAAAACGGAGAGAATCCTTGTTATGATTATTAATTTCCGAGTGTCGCCATTTTTTCTTTCCAAAATAATTTGCTATAATTGAAAGGATTTTTCCAATATTTCACCTATTTAATCTGTTTGGATTTTATTTTTCCTTTCAAATTTATATACTTTTTCTCACATTTAAATTCAAATTTTTAAAATTCATTTAATAATAACATTATATACTCGTTTAGTTACATATAGAAATTTTGAATAATCATTTCAGGCTTTCGAGCTCCAAAAAAAAAAATAAAAGTATTAAATGTTATTTTAGACTTTTGCTGAAGTTTTAAGACAACTCATAGATGCATTCACTCTTGTTACAAAATATCTAAGTATGTTACTGTTTCATCAATAAAATCCAATTGTAGTTTCTAAAAGTATTTAATAAACACTAGAAATATCAAAAATACTAGAAAAAAATATACCGTAAAACGCAAAAATTTCTGATGAGTATTCAAATCTAACATGGACTCTTTCATTGAATTTTCCAAAATTAAGTTTGAAAGCTGCAAGAAAAATTGGGCATTTTGTGAATTTAGAGTACACTTCAAGAGTCATGACTTTGGCAAATATCAAATACGTTTTGAGTTATGAAAAAATTTTTAAATTTACTTTTATATTTTCAGAACTTAATTAACAATAACAGCCAATAACTTTTTAATAGAAGTGAACTATAATGGGTACCCAAATTTTCGTTTATAAGAGGTTACAATTCAAAAATATACATGTACACTTCTCTACAGTGAAATTACC